TTTAATATGGGTTATTTTTTTTTTCTCCATCCTATGTACTTGTGATTGTGGCCGATCATACGAGTGTATATATATATAGCGAGCCGGCTCCTGGTAAAGGTGTACGTTACTTGTGATGCTATTTAATGACTTGTATGGCTCTTTGTGTATTAAGAAGGAGCCGCACAGCTACCAGAGACATTGCTTTGTGATTTAGAAATCATTGACATTTGCTTTAAGCCCTCATCTCCCGGTGAGTGTCTGCACATATGTAAAGACTTGGGCACCTGTAGGTAGACGTAGCGAGCGGTTTGGCTTACAGACGGCAGTGTTTGCACAAGGTATGGTGATGGCACCGACTTCTCTTTACATAGTCTATCCCTATGTCCAGTTAACTTTGTCATGTCGGTTTCTAATAAACTATCAAATGGATCCTTGTGTGTGTGATTATCTGATGGAGAACAATGATGGTTGAAGCTTTCTTCTGCCTTGTCCAGGGACACAGGAAATCAGTCACCGTCGGGTTATACTGCCTCCTACAGGAGGATTGGACACCAGCTAACAAACCAGCCCTGGCTACCCCCTCCAGGTTTATGTCCTAGGAGGACGGCTAGCTCTGGCCTCATTCGGCCGGTTAATGATAGTTGCCCACCCCTCAGCTGGAAGGATTCTGAATTCCTGTGTCCCAAGAAAAGGATTTTCAGAGTAAAAATCTGACATTTTTGGCTTTAAATATACTTTTATCCTATCCTGTGTCCTTCCTACACGGTGATGTCTACCATTGCATGCTTCATAGATGATCAGTCATGTGATCTCTCCTGGTGGTAGGACCTACACCCAGCACTTGAACTGTGTCCTACAATGAACTGCCGAGGTGAAGGGGGTTCGGGGTGTATTATTCGCCCTTCAGTCCTAATCCTCTCAGAAATGACCCCCCTGGCAGAGTCTGACACGCCAAATATATAAACCCCAAGTGCTGATAAAAGACAGGAAACCATCTGCTATGAAATGTTTTATTACACTGAGGAACACAAAGCCATGGACGTACATCACAACGCCAGTACTCCCAACAGATTGAGATTTAAAGAGACTGCATGTATTATCATCGTCCAATCAGAGTACAGCGTTACCCTGTGTACACTTAACACGTACCTCTTATTAGCTGACGCGGGTGCTACGTGGACAGGAAGCAATTGGGCAGCCGTGTTGTGTATGCCCAGGAGTGTCGGCCATGTTTTACAGCAGAGATAAAGGAGCGCTCTGCTTTCTACCATCAGCTCTGACACATATAAATCACCAGGGGGAGGTAATGCAGTACACAGAGAAATCTTGCGGGATACACGACGCCATTGTCAACAATACAAAAGTAATAAAATAAAGCTTTGGCCTCTTTCTTATAAAAAGCTATAAAAATAGAATTGTTATTAGTCTAGTAACACAACGCCCTGAGCTGCAATCTGGGGACGGGCCACAAGGGGGAGCCCTGAGCTACAATCTGGGGACGGGCCACAAGGGGGAGCCCTGAGCTGCAATCTGGGGACGGGCCACAAGGGGGAGCCCTGAGCTGCAATCTGGGGACGGCCACAAGGGGGAGCCCTGAGCTGCAATCTGGGGACGGCCACAAGGGGGGAGCCCTGAGAGCTTTTAATACTGGAAGGACCCATTGCTGCTCGGAAGGCACTTGAAATGATCGCTATGGCTCTTCTATAAATCAATGGAATGACGGCCGGGAACTGTACACGCAGTGGATGTGGTCATCACAGAGAGGTAGCCTTTTATATAAGATCAGACGGCAGCATTGACACAGGAGGCTCTTCTAGTCGTCTGAGTCCAGTGTGTAATGTGCTGGGAGTCTCCTGTGTCCTGCCGCTTGTCCATTAATGAATACAGAGATTGTCTAACGTCACACACAGCCAGAGGAATCTCTTCTCAGGTCTTGTTCATACCAGCAGTGTGCGCCGCAAGGTCCAGCCGCATTGCTGAAGCCTTTACAGATCTTCAGTACCAGTGTGGGGAAAAGTAATCGGATCTCAGTGAACCCGTAATAAACTTTGATGTTATCGATCCCTATGTGTGCCCTGCTAATTTATTTTCAGCTTATGTCCCAATCCCCAGGTGATCCTGCCTGATGACAATGGTACTTTTGGTTCCTCAAGCCATCTGGTGTTGCTGCAGTATCAGTGTAGAGGATGCTGTTTGGACCTACATGCTAGCGGTCTGCCTGTGAGCATACATGTAGCCACGTCTCCTGTTCTACCCCAGCTTCAGACTGACGGCGGCTCTTGGAGGTAGCTTGCACACGGATGTTCCTGTCTCCATGAAGCAGAAGAGCTCCACAGATGTGTGGTGTCGGCACCTTCAGCCGAGCATCTTTTTGAGTCGTCGTCCCCCCAGGGCTAAGGGGGTGAAAAAGCAGGCTAGGTGGTCATGTGACCACTCAGAAAATCACCTAAAAAGGTATTGTTTCCAATGTTAATGTAAACCACATGCTTAGATAGTAGTAAGCATTGCTATTATGTGTCTGACAAGCTTCAGGGTCACAGATACTTCAATGAGAGCGCGATGACAGGGCACGCAGCAATGGGCTGGAGAGGATGACCATCTGATGTGAGATCATTCAGAATTGCTGATCCCCGCTCTCTTTTCCATCAGCTTGCATGCTAACTGGGTGTGATCTGGTGCCTTTCGTGTTACAGCAAGCTACCAGTAATCTTCTTTACGTTGTGTCCCAGTGACAATCTCCATGTGCCTTGGTGTTCAGCCTCCATGTATCATAACACCATGTGGCTGGCCAGTGTGCGCTATGGCATCCCCAGCAATGACCTGGAGCCCATGCTATAGGTATTCAGGTCTTAAAGGGCCGAGATCTTTTTACCTCCCGAAACTGAAAGCTACGTTAATGGCTGACTGCTGTGTGCACACACTGCTCCGAGCCAAGGTGAAGGCTGTGTAGGGCCAGCAAACTGCCTTTTGGGGGGGGCTGTTCTGGGCACAGAACTGCCTTCTGGGGGGCTGTTCTGGGCACAGGGGCAGAGAACTGCCTTCTGGGGGGCTGTTCTGGGCACAGGGCCAGAGAACTGCCTTCTGGGGGGCTGTTCTGGGCACAGGGGCAGAGAACTGCCTTCTGGGGGGGCTGTTCTGGGCACAGAGAACTGCCTTCTGGGGGGCTGTTCGGGGCACGGGGGGGCGGGCGGCTTGTAAATTTGTAGCAGGAGCAGTTTGGTCTGAGAAGCACAGCATGCAATCTTCTGGCATTGGACAGAATTGATGATCAGAAAACGTTCATTCACAGTGAGGTTCAGTATTTGTCATGTGACTTTGGAATCTACCCCCAGAAAAGAATTGTAGGATTCTAAGTCACATGACGGGGGGGGAGAGATCAGATTGTGGGCAGAGGTCACAGTTACCCCTTAGCATTCTCTCCTCCCCCTAAGTACAGCTAAAGTGGAATGTGTGAGTCGCGTCATTGGGGTGGAATTGTGCTTTCTGCATCACAGTGCGTGCTATCGAATATTCTACCAACAGTTCTGTACCACAGCCCAGAACCCGGAACAATGATTCAACCGTTTGTTTGTTACCCCGGTAAGAATAATAAAAAATAAAAAAAAAGTACATCTGCCATGACTCCTCCCACCATTCTCAGGATATGATCTGATCTCAGCCAGTTAAAATACCAGAACCTTCCAGCTGGGGTGAATAAAGGAACATCCAAAATACAGCGCGTCACATGACTGCTCCAGCAGCCAATCAAATACCACTTCCCGGGTTCCAGAGCTTATGGTGACCCTGCGCTTGTGGTGAGGGCCCTCGTTGTTGTTGCTAGGCCCTAAACTGACGAGCGCCATGTCGAAGGTGATGGTGGAACCAGGGGAGACTGGAGGTAGCTGATTGGTCATTTCCTTCCCATTCACAAACACAGCACCTGGCGGAAACATAACAAATGGGGTCAGTACTAGGGAGGACGCAGTGATACACTCTATAGCCAAAAGTATGTGAACCCTCCCCCCCCCCCCCCCCCGGAACCCCGCCCAATTGTCCCC